TTATATTTATTTTACGTATCAACACTATATTATTTCCAATTCAGAGAGTTTTGTTTCCAAATTTAATTCGAGATCCTTCAATTTTTATCAATTTAATTTAATTTTAATCTAATTCGATTTAATTTGAATTTCGTCGAAGATCTTACCGACTGCATCTATTTAAGATACGTTTTGTTATTGATCTATATAATATCCTAGAAAATTTATATTTTATCGCAATAGTACCATGACCCATTTATAAATGGAACTTTTCTCCATTAAGGATAAGGATTATACTATTGTTGACTGTGTTTAATTTAAATCGATAAGAATATGAATACCTCGTTAACACGATAAGTTGGGAGATCAATGAACTGTATTGCAGATGTAGTATAATTCCATGCAGGTATGACGTTCGTAACACCAGATTCGTATATTAATCTTTCGTTACAATGAATAGCATCGTAAACGCTGACGTTCAGTGATACATTACAGATATATTATCATATATTAATTACAAATTCAGTTTCAAATTCGTTTTTTAAATCCATATTTTTAAAAACGCAATTTAAAAAAAAATAGTGACAATTATCAGAGAAATCCCTTAGTAACTAAATATTTTAAAAAAGACTGCAAAATTTCTTACAAGCAGCATAAAAATTCGCAATCAAATCATTATCGTATATTAATATTTTTGATATAATAATATTAGGGCATGCAAGTGTATGATCCAAATAAAACGATTTTATTGGTATTAAGGTCCATGAATATTCAATCAGGAATTAATGGCAGATTATCCACTGTCGGGCAGATTATATCTGCGATACAGATGAAACATTATTACATTTCCTCTCATCGTTTAATTATTACTTGGACTAGAAACAATATATAGAAACCGAAGTTTGATAGTAAATTCTTTTTAAATTTTATGTTCATTAATAATTTAATCTTAAATTAAAAGAAGATTAGAAATTCAATTTTCGTTATAAAATTCTTTAAATCCTATTAGTTACTTCTTGGATGTTTTATTTAAATAATTATTAACATGAAAAATGCTAAACAAAAATAAAAGAATTAAATATCATAGTTTTGAAAGCATGGTTTTCTCGAAGGCAATAAAATTTATCTTCTTTATTGTAAAGAATAATAATTCAAAGACTTGCACAGATTGGCTATGCCATGCATTTCGAAGCTAATTGCATGTCACAATTGGTAAATATAGTGTACACGAGAGTCATTGATCATGTAAAATAAGCACATAAGCAGTTCATTCTTATAGATGATATAACTTCGATTAGCCGACTCGTTTTTATCTAAATGACACTTCACAAATATATTCCTTTTTTTTTATGACATATATTTGAATTTTGTATAATAAAGGTGCATCATCTTGCTAAATATTAATTAAAATTTCTTGAAATGCTGACAGATAATCTTGAAATATGATCAACACTACAATTATAACTGTTTTATAACGCACATTGTTTGTTGTATAATTATTGATATAGAGATGGATATTATATTAAGATGGAGATTAAAATTAAAATTTTAATAAGAGATCATTAATTTATAAATTAGTCAAAATATGCTCTTCTTAGTATGTAAAACAACTTTCTATTTTATTTTTGTTGTTTTAATTGTATTATAATAATTAACTGTTTACCATTCTTTAGTTTTAGTTCTTTAGTTTATTATTCTTCAGTTTACTATTTATTATTCCGTAATTAAATCAATAGAATTAAAATTAGAGAGAACAATTGGTATTTAATGTAACTAATATAATTTATTTAAAAATATTATTATGAGTATTTGAATTCTTAAATTTTTCATTATATAGTCAGCTGTGAGATTAGATGGCTGAAGAAATTAAGGCAAGAAGTTTTCCATAGTGTTAATAGCAACAAACAACAGGTGTTAAGAATAATTAGCTTGTTGGAAGCTGTTGTAGTTAGCATTGGGTATTTTCAATGGCACCATCAAGTTAGTTAGTAAAGTTATCCAAGTGACATTTATAAGATAAGAGATATTTTTTCAATGATTGATTGATTAACACAATGTGTCAATTGATTAACAGTCATTCACAATGTATATTTAAGTTATCGTTACTTATATATGTTGAATTGTTCAAATAATGCTATTAAAAATCGATAATCGTATTAATTTATCAGATTATCAGAATGAAAGATCAGTCAGAGATAAATTTTCAAATATGTATCTAGCTTCTGTATCACTTTGAAGTTCAACACTTCAAAAATTGAAGAAATTTCTGAGAAAGTTACAATGACAGATAAAAGAAAATTTAAGAGATACGAGGTAAGAAAATACAGGATATTTTTAAAAAGCAGAATTATATTTGACAAGAATGATATATAAATAAATATAAAATATACTTCAGAATACATCATTACGACTAATATAATAGAGAGTACAATATAATATTTAGTAGACGTGTAATAATTTAGTAAAAGTAAATTCAATAAATATTTAATAGATATATAATAATATTTAGATATTTAATAATGATATTACTACATCTAGCAATATAGTATATATAGTAATATTCATAGTCATATTAATAATGTACTAATATAATACCATAACATACAGTTATTGTGGAAGTCCCTGATTAAACAAACTAATTATGAGTGAAATTTCCTAA